AGATCCCCGGTGGCCCAGACACACGTGTGCACATGCGTGCTCATGTGTGCACATACGTGCTCATACACACTCATGCATTCACATAGGTGTGTGCATGCATGCAAACACACATGCCCCCCCCTTGGGCATCTCAGACACACACACATACATGCACACGCAGAGGACCCAGGTGTCCCGACATGCGCGCATGCGGCTGCAGAGGATTCAAGTGTCCCAGACACATGCGCGTGTGCGCGTGCCTCATGTGTGCACATACGTGCTCATACACACTCATGCATTCACATAGGTGTGTGCATGCATGCAAACACACATGCCCCCCCCTTGGGCATCTCAGACACACACACATACATGCACACGCAGAGGACCCAGGTGTCCCGACATGCGCGCATGCGGCTGCAGAGGATTCAAGTGTCCCAGACACATGCGCGTGTGCGCGTGCACACACACACACACACACACACACACACACAGAGCCCAGGTGTCCCAGACATGTGCGCACACAGACACAGAGAACACAGCTGTCCCAGAGATGTGCACACACATGCCCACACTGCCCCCAGGTGTTCCAGACATGCACACAAACGCATGCACAGAGAACCCAGGTGTCCCAGACACACACTTGTGTGGACACACATGCACACCCACAACCTAGATGTCCTAGACACACACACACACACACACACACACACACACGTGTGGATGTGTGCACAGGCGGAGGACCAAAGTGTCCCAGACACATGCACACGTTTGCACAAACACAGACACAGAACCTGGGCACCCCAGATGCACGCGCACACACACACACACACACACACACACACACACACACAGAGCATCCCTGGCACCCAAAGCAGGAGGGGAGGTGGGTCATGACAGCTATGACAGGGACCAGGTTTCGGCCACCCTGCTCCCTCTCTGCCCCTGCATTTGCCCCCTCCTCCTGCCCATCGTGGAGGGAGCCAGGCCGTGGCCCGTCTCCTGCCCCCAGCTCCGGAGCTGCGAGAGACTCTCCCCTCGCACTCTGCAGCATGGGCTCTATGACACATGACCGCTCTCCCGATCCCAGCGTGGGCAGACTGGTCGGGGCCTCTTGTCCTGGGGGCAGGGCCCTGGGGAGGGGGGTTTCTAGCCCCTGTTTGGGTCTAGAGTCCAGTCAGTGGAGCAGGGGACAGACACGGGTTTACCCCCCGCCCTTCCCGGGCGATACCGCAGTCACACATGGAGCTGAAGTCATTCTCCGCATGGGTGGGTCCAGGAATTCGATGGGCGCGTCACAGCATTTTGCACAAGAGCAGAAAAGGAGAAACTCGGAGCTGGACTCCTAGGCAAGGGGCTGCAGCAAGGCGGTATTCGGAGCGCTTCATCCTCCAGGTCAAGGCGAGGGGCGCTCGTTTGCTAGATTAGGTCTTAAACATTAAAAAAAAACCCCACAAACGAGGCAAAAAATAATCGAAAGATCATAGAGCCACAGAGCCGTGGGGCCAGGAGGGAGCTCCAGGGGTCGCATCCAGGCCTAGGCAGGATCAGCCCCATCCAGAGCAGCCCGGACAAACCCTTTGTGCAACCAGACACGCGCGCGCATGTGTCTGGACGCTTGGATCCGGGGGGGAGAGTGTGTGTCTAGGATGTTGGGGGGTTAAGTTGTGTGTTTGGGATGCCTGAAATGACCGCCCCCCAGAAACAACCGTCCAGTATTAGTGGCATTTCGTTTCAATCACAGAAAACTGTGGATTTGGGGTTACTTTTTTTCATCCGAAGATTGGGGATTTTTTTAGAAAACCAGCTCATTAGTCCTGGAGTCGTTATGTCTCTTATTGAGACTCGTAATGCAAAATCTCACTTTCTCACACCTTGACAGTGCCTCCCACATTTCACCATGGGTCATTTCTACGCCCGGGTTCACGTGGCCGCACCCGACTGGTATTTTTAGCTAGGGCTCCCAGCAGCCCGCGGGGCATTGCCAGGGGTGGTGTCAGACGGCAGCGGGGCAGAGGAAAGGGTTGGCGGAGGAGCGGAGAATCGGGGCTCTTAAACCGGAAAGAGCATCATTCACACGTGCAGAGCTGAGAGATTAGCAGGAACCGGGGAGGTGACAACGAGCCGTGAGGTGACCCAACAGGAAGTCGGTCTGGACGTTTGGGTGGAGCAGGAATCCGGGGGTGCGTTGCACCATGGCCCCCACCCCCACCTCGAATCTGCCCCTGGGCCTCGGTGACGCGGTGCACGGTGCTGTACCCTCCCCGGGCTCCTGGTTGCAAACTGGTCCCGGGGGAGATCCCACGGGGTCCAGAAATCCACAGAGTCACGAGCGGGTCACGGCAGAGGAGCCGGGACCTCTTCAGCGAGGGCTGGCGGGCACTGGTCGGTCATAGAGCCTGTACTGCTGGGGGCTAGGGGCGAGTCTCTGACTGTTTGGGGAGCGGGGGGTCACCCAAGCCTCCGCCCCCAGACACAGGCGTCCCTTGGGCGCCGAGTGGCTCCTCCAAGGGACTTTCTGGCCTCTGCTTTGGGTGCAAGGATTGGGGGGGGCAGGATTGAAGGAGCCACTTGAGAGCCTCCGAAATTCGGCCTGGTGCTGAAACCCCTCGGTGCCTGGCTAGTGCGCGGGGTCCCCCAACGCGGGACTGGGATAAAAGGAGTGTGTGTGTGTGTGTGTGTCCTGGACACCTGGGTTCCATAGGTGTGCACAGGTGTGTGTCCAAGTCCCGGATGCTTGGGTTCTGTGTGTGCGCGATGCCGGGGTTCAAGGTGTCCAGGACACACACGGGGTGGGACAGACACGTAGGTTGTGTGTGTGTGTCTGGGACACCGGGATTGGGGGTTGTTTAGGATGTTGGGGTTCAGTGTGGGGGATGCTTGAGTTCAAGGTGTGTGTGTGTGTGTGGATGCATATACATGCACACACACACAGGATGCTGGGTGTGTGTATGTGTGTGTGAGATACCTTAATTCAAGGGGGGTGTGCATGTGTGTGTACACGCTCGTGTGTTACTGTGGGCTAACAAGGCCAGCAGCCTGGCCGCTAGCCGTCATCCCACAGCTCCCCCAGGATCACTTACCGTATTTTCCCCCTACAACATGCATCTTCCCCCCACCCCACCCCAGCTAATGGACAATGGCGTGTGCATTATACATCAGGAAATACAGTACGAGCAGCTTCAGCCTCTGCTCCAGACCCTTCCCCCTTCGTTCTGCCATTCAAAAGCAAGGGGCGGGGCTTCTGGGGCATGTTGTATGCTAGAAAATACGGTAAGTGGCATAACCGACATCCGGGAAGATGTAGTTTGGGGGTTTGGATTGGGGGGGCGGTAATTAATTCAAGAACATTATCCCTGGATACGGAGTTTCCC